GAATTCTACCAACTTTTTCAGTTTCCTGGTGTGGTGCTGTAGGATCAGCACTGGACTGCGAACCACAAGGTCAGCAATTCAAACGCACTAGCTGCTTCTTGGAAACCATACACAGAGTTGTTATGAGTCAGAACCGACTCGATGGGATTTAACAACAACATATGCATGTGAAGGTTGTATAATGAATAAGAAAGATAGAAGAATTGATACATTTGCATTATGATATGAGAGAAGAAAATTAGAAGTACCATGGACCCATAAGCAATCTAATATGCTCTCTGCTGACTACCTGGGTCTACTTGTGAGTGGAAGTAGGGAAAATGCAGCAATGAAGACATGGGCTGAGTTTGACCATGTTCCATACTGACCTTGAGATGAGAGAGAAAAGAGGAAGGACTGGATGGTCTGAAGTTTAGGAAGACATGTGAACTACTGAGTCCATGGGCACTGACCTACCCATTTGACCTAGCTTGGATGGCTAACTAAACAGAATTCGACCCAATGAAGATAAAGGTGTTTGATACTGTGAATAAGTATAAATTGCTATAATTTGATGAACTGAACTTTTGCAATGGATACAGTTGCTCAAAATTCCAACCGGAATGGAAGGATTCTTCATATCAAGGAATAAGCACATTTCCTCAGTGTACTGGCTTGATAAGGATGGGAAATTTAGACACTGGCTATCCAAAATGGGGTGGGGTAGGGGCTATTAAATGCATGAAGTGGCTGGCTTACAAGTTTTCATGAGTGTGCTTCGTTTCAGAATGAGGGAGATAAGCTAATACCCGCTCTGAATAGTTTTCTTCTTTTCCAGATGAATCTGGTGAAATGAGATGGGGGATGGTGGTAAAATTTTATGAATCAACTGTAATTGCTAGCAGAATTGTGATGATCACAACTGTAATTGTAGAGGATGTGTAAATACAAGTTGCTGTTAAGTGCCGTTGAGTCAGTTCCAACTCATAGCGACTCTGTATAGGGTTTCTGAGGAGCAGCTGGTGAGTTTGAACCACCGGCCTTGCAGTTCAAACTGACCTTGCAGTCCAGTGCATTAACCCACAGTGCCACACCACTGGGGAGTAGTTAATCTTTCATATCAGGAGCAGATGATCCCAGGATTATCAGGAAGGAAGAACATGAGTGGAGCATAGATCCCTACCTAGAAAAGCACGGACAGCAGAGATGATGGTCAAGGTGGTAGCTGGAGAGATGGAGCAGCTTTAGGCTCTAGGCCCATAAACTGAGTAAAGCTGTGTGCCTGTAGGTAGGAGGCTGGCTTGCAGAATGTGCCCCTTGGACATTTAAATGAATATATAAACACACACACACACATATACACACATACACAGACACACACACACACATATATATATTGTATGTATACATAAAATATTTTGGCTTTGTTCATTTGTGAAACATAAGATGTAAACAAGGAACCATAGGGAAGAAGCAGGATAACTGTTGTTGCAGGGAGGGGATAGTAATCATTGAGATGAAATCAAGTGTATAATTTGTTGAATGTAAAGCTGATGATCTTGTCTGTAAACCTTCACTCAATTCCGAATAAAAAGTTATTTTAACAGTACCATGGACTGCTAGAGGAACAAACAAATCTGTATTGGAAGAAGCACAGCCAGAATGTTCCTTAGAAGCCAGGATGGCCAGATTTCGTTTCTTGTTATTGTTGTTATAAGTGCAGTTCGAATCAGATCCGACTCTTGGGGACCCTGTACAGGGTTGCTGAGGAGCAGCTGGTGGGTTTGAACTGCCCACCTATGGTTCGCAGTCCAGTGCTGATCTTACAGCGTCATACCAGGAGCCTCTCATACTTCGGACATATCAGTAAGACCAGTCCCTGGAGAAGGACATCATGCTTGGTAAAGTAGTTGTTGTTGTTAAGTGCCGTCGAGTCGGTTCCGACCCATAGCAACCCTGTACAGCGTTTCTGAGGCTGTAAATCTTTACGGGAGTAGAAAGCCTCATCTTTCTCCCACGGA